AGCACGGCCTTCGGGCACAGGGAGTGAAACCAGACAACACAAATACTGGCAGCATGTATTGGTTGAAGAACGACACCTATGTGCCCTTCTCCGAGCGGGACTGGGACGAGCTCAACGGCGGGCGAGTGAAGTTGTAGAAGATGTTTTGGGATTTGATCTGTCGCAAGCGAGATACCATTCTTACTATTCTTCTTCACTTAGAACATAGCTTACCATGGCTCGGCTGTCAACGAAGCACGTGCGTACATATTATCAAATTAAGCTATCCTGTTTAACAGACCAAGAGTCTGCATTTCTTTCTTCCCTTCTAAGGTTTCTTCTTCGCAGTTTGCTGCCTAGAGGCGCACCTTATTAACTGCCGTATAACTCTTACGGGGAAATAATAGAGGGCTAGGATAGCTTAGGTTATAGAGAAACCTCTATAGCTACTTATAGGGGTATATAAAGAGAGCGTAAATCGCTAGGGAGTAAGCATCTCCCTCTTTACGCTACTATAACTTATTACTCCTTTAATATTAAGATATTATTACTATACTATATTAATACTATTTATTACTACTTTAAAAGTAGTAATAACTTCTTTATAATTACTTAAAAAAACTAAAATAAAGTATATAGATTTTTATATATATAACTTAATTTCTTAGTATAAAGTTTAATAATATATTAAATATATTACTACTTTCTACTAATATACTTTAATAAAATAATATATTATTAAGCTAAAATATAGAGATATTTTAAGTATATTAAAATAAACTTTAAAATAAATAAACTATATAATATTAATTAAATTAAGTATTTTATATTATTAAAATATAGTACTTTATTAAAAGAACTTAAGGATATATATATAATCGCTATAACGTAGTAGTAGTTAATAGGGGTAGTTAGATATATAGGGGGTAGTTAGAGTAAAGGGGACCTCTTATATATCCCTAGTTATATAAAAATTCACAAAAGAATTCTTCACAAAATGGAGTCTGCATTTCACTGCTGTGCTGTTGCAGCGAATTATCTATTTGGTTTTGCTAGTTACTCACGTTGGCGTTTTTGAAATCGGCTGTGTTGCCCAGAAAGATGCAAAAAGACGATGCCACCAGGGGCGGTGGAGGCTTGCTCGACTGGACGTATCGAGCATGAATGACCTCGATGCCTGCATTCAACATCTATGTCTCGGTATTACAATGTCTGAAGTTGCACGTTGGTTCAGGAGAGGTTTGCAGTGAAGATGCCGTTCCCTCCAACAGTTCATCACCGCTCCAAGCAAACACAATTCACCATCAACCCAACTTCCTGAAAATGATTCACTGTTGATCAAGATTGAATATAAAGACCGCCAAAGTTCAATCGCTCAGCATGAAAAGCACATCCATTTCCCTGGGTCTAAATACACCAACACCACCATTCAATACAGCGTGTATCACTTTTCTTTCTTCTACACCTCATCGACATCACAACCGCAGCCATGAGCAACAACGGCCCTCCTTCCCCTTACACCGACCCCCCGACTCCTCCGGCCACGCCTCCTCCTCAACCTGCTCCCAACAACAACCGCCGTTAACTTAATGGAAGCGACTAGTTAAAGCAAGAAATAGTGCAGTGCAAGTAAGGCCGATGCAGACGATCGGCAGTCAATGAAAACTAGACAATAGACTTCAATTACGCACCCACAAACGAACACCGTGACATTTGGATGTGGTGACATTGTCCGGACAGGACCTCGAATCATATAGCCCCATTATCCATTTTCATAGAAAGAAATGTTTATGTTGCACGTGCTTCTCTATCTTTCTGGCATGGCGTCGTCTATGAGAGGCAAAAAGCCCTCACCTCATCCCAATCGTGTTTTCAAACGCCATTAACTCTTCATCAGCAATGCGCGTGCCAGGTCGCATATTATTTCCTCGGCCTTGTGGATGGCGAGACTGACGTGGCCCTCGTCATCAGAAATCCGTAACTCGGCGCCTGGGACGCATTTTGAGGCCTTCTGCGCCATGGCTACTGGCACATTGGCATCCTCGGCGCCGTGCCACCAAGTCATTTCGCTCTTCTGGACGTGCAAATCCTCCAGCTCAAACCCCCAATGACTCCCCGCCAGTTTTACGTCTTCCGCCGGCCCTTTTCCGCCAGGCTTCATCGCCTCTCGAACGCTAGCCACCATGGCCGACCGGACGCCGCCCAAGTCCGGATCCAAAACAGCGAGGTCAGCCGCAGGGCGAGATTTCAGATCCTCCAAGACAGTCTGCTCAAGCCTCTCGGGGTGTTCCTCGTCACGGGCGGCCCTACACAACGTCCAATCCATCCCCCAGGCCACGACTGGTGCGATCCACGGCGCGAGCGTCAGCATCGCGCGGCCTTGAAGCAACATTCCCGCGAAACCCAGAGACGGAGGGTACAGTCCAGAGCAGATGCCCGCCGTTACCAAGCGGTCACGGGATATGGTGTTCCAAGATGACAAAACATAGGGAGAGCCGCCCGAAAGACCTAGAACGCCAAACCTTTGGACGTGGTAGTGATCCGCGACGGCAAGGACGTCGGCGGGCCAGTCGATGATGCGTCTGTTTGGCTGGAACGTCGAGCCGGCGTGGCCTGGGCGGTCGAGGGCGATGAGCTGGACGCCGTGCTTACAGGCTGCTTCGTGAAAGATGAAGGCTTCGTCGTGGCTGCTGGGAAATCCATGAAAGTAGAAGATGGTAGGCTGATTCGGGCTGGGCGGAGCGGTTGGGGGAAGGTCTCTGGATCCGGCACCGTATAGGCCGAAAGTTAGGACTCGACCATCCGGTAAGGTGACAGTCCTGGTATCGGCTTTGAAGAATGAACTCATCTGGTCAGTTCTATGCTATGTTGTGGTGACGATTAGCAAGTTGTCAGTATAGTCCAGTCATCTACAAGCAGTCACAGTGAGCACTTTCGGGTCTTAAAATGGCTGGTACGGAGGCGATGTCCGAACAACGAAGTGGTCAAGGCAGCAGCGCCAGCGATACCGAACCCTGGCCGTTTTTGGAGTCACCAGATTGCTTGAGCATGAATGCCTCTGCGTGATCCCCTAAAGTCATGTAAAGCTGAATATTTGATGGCGCGCTTCCTGATCCTTCGGAGAGGCGCAGCATTAGCCGAGATGAGGATGCGTGTAAAGCAGCGAAGCAGCTCTCTTCCACTTAAAGAGACTAGACGGACTGATGTTGCAGTCACAAAGGTGATCAACTGAGCCCGGACACTAAGGATACCAGAACGGCGTCTGTTGTAAAACAATGGTTGATGACGGATGTTCCGAGTCTTGCCGGTCCGGAGGCTGGTCCGGTGGACGCCGGGAAAGTGGCAGGGGCGTTGACTCGGATCACACAGTTGCCCTCGAGCTTTGGGACCGAGACATCATGTCCGGAAAGAGACTTTTACTTCGGCTGGTTCATATCATCGAGTAACAGTGTCTCTCTCAACTCTGGGGATATGTGTCCGGGCTGCCTCTGGGTTTGAATGGAAGAGGGCTGATGCCAAGACATTGCTGCATGGCCTTCCGAACTCTCTTGGATTAAGTATTTCGGCAGCTCACTCTTAAAAGGCCAGCCGGGGATCGGGCGGCCGGCAGTCGGTGCGGAACGGACGAGGTCGGCGACCTGGGGGGATCCGGGAGGTCGGTTGTCGGCGATGGCGTGCGAGGACAGACCGGGGCGGGAGATGGGACGTGGCGTGCTGGCGTGGGTTCGTTGGATTCTTCGAGGCCAACGATAGGATAGGCGCCGGTACGGTACATGCGCATGAAGCTTCGTCGTGTGGGGGTTGTAGCAGATGTGATTGTCTCGAGCCAGGCTGAGGTGGGTGGTATTGGACAGGGCGTGGGTGAGTTGCCTCATCCGACTGTCACAATTGAAATGAATATTCTTCCACGTTGGGGGGATGGATGGACGTGTAAGTCGACGTCGAATTTTGGAGATATTTTCGGAGCTACTGCTGCTGCAGAACTCGCGATGCGCTCTCCAGACCCCTCAAAGCAGCTTAGTGACCGCGCTAAAGCTCCGATAAGGCCTCGCCGCTGGGCCGTTAGCGCCCTCAAGGTGTGCTGTGATGCTGCGACGGCCTCTTTTAGGGAGCAGTCTCCATGATGTGCCCTGGGCCAAGGATGATGTAATCGAGCACGCCATCGAGACTAGCCCCAAGAGGGACATGGAGGGGTACCGACACCTGAGAAAAAAAAGCCCCTCCAACGCGGGGCACCCAACGCACCCTCCCCTCACCTTGTCTATCGAGGCCAAGGCTGGCCTGGCCTGGCTGGCTGCTTGCTTGCTGTCGTGTTGACCAGGAGATTCTGCGACATTCGATGCCAATCCCAATGAATGGAACGCTCAGTACCCGTTGACATGGCAGTCTCATCAGTTCGAGTGGGGGGGCGTCGTGGGCAGGTTTTGGGGAGCAATAACACGACTGACAAGAAGAGGTCGGCGAGTCGACTACTCCAACGCGGGGTCCTGTTCCGTCTCCAATGCCATCCATGACAAAGCCAAAGTCAGGTCGTCCGTACCTTTTCTACTGCGTAGGTATGAAAGTACCCGGATGCTAATGAGCAAGTCATAGTCACCAACTGTGAATGACCATGTCTGGCCTTCTATGCATTTCTAAGCACCGGCGTCTAGCCCGACGGGTTTTGCTCTAAGACCAGACCGGAGCTGAGCCCGGCTGACGGATGATGAATCAATAGGTCTTGTCAGAGTAAAAGAAGGAGGCTGACAGAGGGACTGACAGGGTGAGGATGAGGAGGAGGTACTTGGACCCCTACCGCCCCAAGATCAGCCAAGTCTCCGTAGTTAAGGCAAAGTATCGGAAAGTACGTGTAGCACCGTAGACAGATGCCTTAGACTGTCCATTGCCTCTGCACCTATTTATTCGCCCGTGTCCCTCTCACTTCTCCTGGCTGTTCCTTTCCCTCTTCCTTCTGTTCAACCGACTTGCCATCTCTCACGTATAACTCCCTTCATCCAACCTCCCAGCTACAATCAGACACAATGGCTGACCAGCGCCCCGCTCCGTGAGTTCAACCCATCCAACTACTGCTGCCGCTGCCCCGCGCTGGCTACCCCGCCACCGTCCGTCCTCGGCGCCGTCTCCGTCGTGGGCTGTCCTCGCCACGACAGAGAACGACACGTCGCTCCAGTATCACAGAGCCATGGCTAACATAGCTTGCCCGCAGCCTCCGTCTCGGCACCGTTGCCCCCAACTTCAAGGCCGAGACCACCAACGGCCCCATTGACTTCCACGAGTTCATCGGCGACAACTGGGTCGTCTTCTTCTCCCACCCCGAGGACTACACCCCCGTCTGCACCACCGAGCTCGGCGCCTTCGCCAAGCTCGAGCCCGAGTTCTCCAAGCGCGGCGTCAAGCTGATCGGCCTCTCCGCCAACACCCTCGGCTCCCACGAGGGCTGGATCAAGGACATTGATGAGGTCACTGGCTCCCGCGTCGCCTTCCCCATCATTGCCGACAAGGAGCGCAAGGTCGCCTACGCCTACGACATGCTCGACTACCAGGACACCACCAACGTCGACGAGAAGGGCATCGCCTTCACCATTCGCTCCGTCTTCATCATCGACCCCAAGAAGACCATCCGCACCATCCTCTCCTACCCCGCCTCCACCGGCCGCAACTCCGCCGAGGTCCTGCGCATCGTCGACTCCCTCCAGACCGGCGACAAGCACAAGATCACCACCCCCATCAACTGGGTCCCCGGTGACGACGTCATCGTCCACCCTTCCGTCAAGACCGAGCAGGCCAAGGAGATCTTCCCCGAGGTCCGCATCGTCAAGCCCTACCTGCGCTTTACCCCTTTGCCCAAGGAGAAGGCCACCGTCGCCTAAGCGCGAGTGGTGGTCTGGAGTGGAACTTGGTTTGGGGACGCTTCGTTGAGTGACAACCGGCCGCTTGCTTCCTGCGTAGCATAGCACCGGCGACAACTGATGGATGCGAGGCCCCAAGGGGAAAAAGTAAAAAAATCAAAAGCCAGTCTTCTCTACGTGTTGGAGAGGATTATACCCAGACGGCAGGACACGACGCGCGACGCGTTTCGTCCCGCCTGATACCCTTAGGAGGCCAGGCAACTGGCCGAGACAACCGTAGAACGTATGAAATAATGAGACATGAACAAACACGGGTTCCCATCTCGCTCTGTCTATCGTGATGACGGTGATGGTCTCACGGAGCATGTCCTCCCCAGAGGCTCCTCCATCTTAGACTTTGGAGAAACGATGACTTCACCGGTTCTGCCGTGGGCACATACGAAACACGGCGGCGGCTCACCACTCCGCCAGCCAAGACCACAGGCATCTCGGCCACAGACAGCTCGAAACTCGTCAACTGCGACATTGCTCCGTGTCATCAACTTCAACAAGCGGTGAGTTGACGTCAAGGGGCTTCGCAAATGAACGCTTCCAAATAGGATATTACAGTCATGATTCGGAATGGAGATTGATGGACGAAACGAGGCGTTTGGCCGACGCACGGAGAGCAGACGAGGAGATGAAGTCGGTCGGATACACCCGTCGTTATACCTCTGGGTGAAGCGTATCACATCAAGGACCTGCACAGACAAGGGCGTTGCGTAAGCGAAGGCCGACCTGAAGAGCATATGGCTCTGGACTTATGGAAGGCGGCAAAGCCATGTGTCCGTAATTTAGCAGCCGCATGGGGGGCCACCGAATTGATCTACACTCGGCCGCCTCTTGAACCGTGAACGGCCCCAGGGGCTTGTTGCATGTTGACAAGCGGCCCTCGTGCTCTTGGGCCCTCTCTCTCTGTCTCTCTCTCTCTCTCTTTTGATGGCTGTTGATCTCCTTGACAGGCCTGCTTCTTCTCCAACCCTTGACTCGGCCAATAGAGATGGATGAGACCGGAGGAAACGGTCGGCGTCTCTTTCGGAGAGGCCAAGGCGCCGCTAGACCGGCCACCCACGAGGCACCTTAATTTGGTGCCGCTATCTAGGCGTGCATAGTGTCATTCTCGGGGTCCGCGCCGAGCTGGACGGCCTAGACGCGCCGCGGCAATAGTAGACTCGTAGTAGATATAGCACACGACCAAACGAAGTAAGCGCGGCACAGGTGGTGTGCCTTCTAGGGAGGGAATAGAAGCAAGCACAATCCTGGCGTGACACGAGGCAGCACCGTCCTCCGGGCTTGCAGTGAGGCAGGAACAATTCCAGATTCCAGATTCCGGTAACCCACGGCCAGGAACAGCTGGGGAAGGTTGAAACATTGACATCCACCAAATGACAACTGGCCGGGTTCCCACGTTTTTCCCGCGTACTGCGCTCCCGACTGTGCGCTGACGCGACGCGCGCGCAGGAGAGAGGTTTCCGGTTCCCAAGTGCCCCGAGACATGGCGGCAGCAGGACCAGGAAGGTGGATGGGGATGGGAGAAGCCCGGGTCGGCAGGATGCCTGTCCCGGGGGTGGATGGCTCGCCTGAGACTTGACAGGCCAGGCATTGTTTGTTTCCGACGGCGAGCTGGGCGTTTGGCATGAGGGGAAGCTTGGGTGTATGGCAGCGTCATTTTCGTGCCGGTCGTGCTTTGCTTGGTCTAGCTAGTATCGCGAGGAGTGTGATAGCATGATAGCATCAGGAGTTGCGGTTCTTTGAGATTAACGTGACGTCGACGGTGGCATATAGGCCCTGTCCGTGATATACGGAGAGCGGGCCACAGACGGGCAAATGCCAACAACGTGGACAGACTGGACGGAGAGAGAGAGGGCTCGAGGGCTGGAACTGCGGCGGGCAGACGGCGTGAATGCGTGACAGGCCCAGACGAGCGGTGTCGACGGGGACTAGGACCAGGACAGGGGCAGGGACCAGGTTGCCATGAATTTGCTGCCTGCCTGGCATCTGCCTCCTTTTTCCCTCGCTCGGTGACTTGTTGGCCTGGCCCGCTCCAAGTCACTCTGCCAGCTTCTCCTCTTCTCGGTCTGGCACGTCTGGTTTGCGGTCTCTGCTGGTTTGTTAGAGCAGCAGTGCAGTCAACTGCCTGTGAGCTGGTTTCCGTATCGCCAAGCAGCAGAGAGTGACCAGACACTCAGACTGGGACGTGGCGCCGATTCATCCTCTGTCTGGCAAGGATAGGAGACCAGGATGGCGGTTCAAAGAAAGGTTCACAGCGGTGGTGGTTCTCCTCGTCGTCCGTCATGTTCTCCCCTCTGTCTCGCTGAGCGGATTGGGGATGGTGCAGACTGGTGGCACACACAGCGAGGCGTAGCGCAACGTTTCTGCAAGAGAAGGAACGGAGAAAAAAAGGGTCCTGTGTTGCAGCTCGATCGTCTGATGTTTTTTTTTTTTTCCTACCGCAGCCGCAGGATTCCAATTGAAGGTGTGCATGGACCGCCCGGCGGGAGAGAGAAAGAGAGAGACGGTGTCGGTCTTGTCATGTAAGGTACCGTGTCGTAGGTACTGCGGTAAGGATCCAGAAAGTATCCGTACTTTAAGAGAGTACGAGTACCTATCCGTACCTCAGGTATTCACACATGGTAGGTATATCTCGCAGTCGGAATGGTCGTCGGGCAGCAAAAGGAGCAGCGAGGTTGCGATAATGCTAATTAACCGGTGCTTCGATTTTTCTTCTTTTCATTTTCTCTCGTCTGCTCCCGCGGATAGAGGGGCCGAGCGACGCCTGATGGGGCCGGGGGCTGGGTGTTGGATGCTGGATGCTGGATGCTGGATGCTGGGGTCCCGACAGCTGGTGCCGGGAACCAGTACGTACCTCACCGTTTGGGATGTTTCCGGTCTGGAAAGCGCGGACCAGGAGGTCAATGCGCTCATTCCCTGATGCTGCATGCATAAAACAAACACTGAGAAGAGGTACGGATACATCCACCTCCTTTAGTGCATATTCGATCATCAAGCATTCGCTACACACATGGAAGTCCGAGGTGCCGAGTGCTTGTGCTTCAGCAATAGCTTCCACACCTCCCTGGCTTTTTCCAGCGAGGTTGGTTGCATCGGATGTTTTAGTAGTGTTTTCTCTTGTGTTTGTCTTGGTTCTTTGGAATATCTCGACGGTCTGCAACACATGCTTTCAGTATGATTTTTGGTCCTCGCAGCGCGCTATCCTAACGGAAAAGCAAGGGCAAGTGTGTGTGTCCAGTCTTGCTTGATCTGCAGCCCTTTTCCACATTGAATACGGATACCTACCTCACGACTCGCGACTCGGATGCCTCAGACGCCTGCCTCCGCCCGCCTTACTCGCTGTGGCTGGGCTGAGAAAGCGATGGCTGACAGCTTTGACCAGCCAAAAGTCCCAAGTCGTTCTCAGCATGGGACCAGGCACTCCCTTCAACCTCATCAACCTGACCGTTGACTTTGCGTCCTGCATCAACTTTGACCTCTTCCCTTCCCCTCCTTTCCTCGTTTTTTTTTTTTTTTTTCTTCTTTAACCGCCTCGCTCCCCCGCCCCATCGTCCCCTTTTCCACTTTGGAGGGCACGTTGGACCAAAGTAACTGCCACCGCCCCTTTCCAATGTGCGTGCGCGCGGTACCTCACCATATTCGCGGCGCCTTGCTAGGTACTACTGGATATTTCCAATTTAATTTGCATATGCGGAGTATCGCTATACACAGCAACTGAATTGTGCCGCAGTCTTGTGCACAGAGACCTCCACGCAGTAAGTACACTACCTACCTAATGTCACATCTGCACAAATGGCCCCCCTTTCCCCTCCCCTCCGCCCTACAATCCAATCCCGTGCCCAAAAGCCCATCTCCGAGCCACATTTTCCCATGTTGGGAGGAGACACTGGAGTCTCTCACAGCTCTCTCCGTGCGGATACATCGCACATATTCATCATCGCCGTCGCAATGCATATCGCCATGCTCCGTATCGGCGTATCGACCTCCTCCCACTAGACGCTGCCTTGCAGTACCTTACCTATCGTATCGCATCCGCATCGCCTGCCGCGCTCCGATTTCTGCTTCTGCCCTTGGCTTGTCCTATTACCTCCTAGCCTGCCGTTTCTAAGGCTCTGCACGGTGTGCCTCGCGTTGCAGTGTGCAGAAGCGACTGCAAGTTGACGCTCATCACCTTCTTCATCTGCCCTTCTCTCCCTCTCCTCCTTTCATCATCACCCTCCATTCTACCAACCTTACCTTACCTTAGCCCCCAACCCGACCTCCGTTGTCCGTTCTCCGTCAAACCCCCGCCGCCGTCGTCCGCGTCTGCTGCGTATGTATGTGTTCATTCGCACAATCTCCCGGCAGTAGTGGTACATGCAAATACTCACACGGGTCTTCTTCCAGCTCAGAGGCCCCCGGAGCCTCTCGTTCACAGCATTCGACCCGCATAATCCACTTCTTCCCTCGCGTCCGCGTCGGACTTCAAACTGCTTTTCAACTCTTGACCGGCCTCTAGTCTGTGCGTGGTGCGCCATTCGCTCGACCCAGCCCAGCCCAGCCCGGCCGGACGAACGAGCAGCGAGCAACATCTATCCATCCGTATCTCTATCTGTACTCTGTACTCTGTCGCCTTACCTTGCTCGCCCGCGGCTCCCACGCGCTGCAGTCACTTCGTACATTCTTTGCCTTTTACCTTCCTTGCCTTACACACACCCCTTCGCAGTCTTCGGCCAGAACCAAGACGCCATCTTTTTTTTCGCTTTCCAAGAAGCCCCTCACCCCCAACTAACTACTGGCTTTCCTCGACACACATCCCCGAGGCCCCAAAAAGAGCAGGGCAGGCATCTGGAAATTACCAATTGCAACCCTGCTGGTGGTCTCGCTGCCAGCGCCGGCCGTTGCCGCTGTCCGTCAAGACTCAATCCGCTGTCTTCTGCCCGCCTGCCACGACACGCTACGAACCACATACCCAGTATTCGTACCGCCGC